TGAATTGTAATAAATATTTTTCCTCTACGATAATTTAATGTGATCATGAAGGGCTTTACAATGATCTTAATTATTAAGATGTATATATATATCACTGTCTATCGATTTAATTGTACATTCTTTCTCTCGATTTTACATAAGAACTAACCGATACGTTTTTCAATTTGGTTCGAAAGAAATGTTTGTAACGTATTCGACCAGAAAATACTAAATGACACTGACATAAACATAAGATATTTTATACATAAGTTCAAGGATGACTTGTTCAAAGGATTGTATCACTTGTTCATCATATGCTTGTTCCAATATAAATTCGATAAAAATTTTATCTAAATTTTCTAAAGAATTTCGTAAAATTTATACAAATTTGTTGTGCATATCGCAAGCATTATGATAAAGAGTTATATTAATGCTTCCTTTATTGCATAATTCTTGGAAGAATTATACTAAAGCAGAATTATACTATTATACTAAAGCAATTTTTCTATATATTTCCTTTACCATTCATTTCTTATACATATAACGTTAAAAAATAAAAATTTTAATTAGAAAATTGCGAAATTTACATTTTTTTATCGATACAATTTATTGATTTATATTTCACAATATGGAATTATGCAATAAAGATCACAGAAGAATGTGATATTACGACAGAATTAGAAAGATACTGAGTTAAATATGATAATATAAATTTCTTTGTTAAAAATTAACAGATAAATGTATACTAGTTTTATTGAAATTAAGTTTCCATGATGATGTTTGGTTCTAAAAATGTTTAATTCTGTAATATTGTACGCAGAGTTTGTTAATGTGTTGCAAAGATAATTATAGACAAAAAATGATGTGTCAATCTTTAAAATTCAAATTTGTATTTAATTTTTTAATCAATTATTTACAATATTTTGTTTAAAATAATATATTTTCAAAATGCATTGCGAAATTTATAGAATTGACATTTGATAAAAGAATTTATTACATTTTATGTGCAATGCCGCGTATTGGAAGTTATTCTTTTATAAATTTTGATATACCTATGTATAATTAAAATATCTTACAATCGTACGAACTAATAATGTTTTTAAATACATTTATTTTACGTTCTTGATCTTTCTTTGAAAAAATATGGGCTTCCAATGTGCAGACAAAAACCACTATATTTTCAAGATGGGTATACATCAAAATATTGAAAATACATGGAGCGATATATTATGTTATATTAATTGTACAACTGGAAATATGAGGATCTCATGAATACAAAAGAAATCATAGTTCATCTTAATTGTAATTTTACTTCTTTTTGGAAAAATTTTATCTTAACGCAACAAAGAAAAGTCTCAATTACTTCTAAAGATGCTTGTCGTTAAATCCTTACATTTCTAGATCGGTTGACCAAGTAACAATACATAAACACTATTTTTTGCTAATGAATCTTTTAAATGTAACCGATTATAAATGAGTCTTAATTTTCTTTTTATCATGATATATCAAAATGTCATCTTATTAATATGATTTGAATCGTTTGCTTCTAAGTTTTGTACACAATTGCTATTTGCATAAAGCGTATAAAACGTACATGTTTCACATTTTGTTTTGTCACGCAGAAAAAAGCGTGTGCATGTATGTAATAATAAAGTGATATATTTTTGTATATTTAAGCCTACTAAGCTGTTAAGCGCATTAAGTTCCATTTTACCGTTAATTAATTTTTATTAAAAATATATGTACACAATTCTTTTGCAGAAAATGTTATACATGATAGTGAAATATAACATCCGTATCTTAAATAAGAGTGTCAATCGATCGTATGTATCGTAATAATATATAAGTGTAAATCACAAAGCAGCTGTTTATTTTTTTTATTTGGAGTGATGAAAATGACTGAAAAACAAGTGGTAGTCAGAAGGCGCACAGTCTAGTGAATAAGCCACATGGGTATCACTTATCAGCAAAGTTTCCTTGACATGTTTTGCGGCGTGAGGTAGAGCGTTGTCATGAAACAAGATTACTTTATGCTGTCTTGTCTCATATTTTGGTTGTTTTTCGCGTAATGCTTGGCTCAAACGGATTATTTGTTGTTGATAGAAATCCCCTTGTGACTATTTGACCAGATTTTAACAGCTTATGGTACATTAACACTCTGCTGATCCTACCAAGTACAGAGCATGGTCTTTTTCTCATAAATATTGCGTTTTAGCGTCGATGTAGATGGTTGGCTTGGGTCACAAATGGTTTTTCGGCGTTTGGGGTTATCGAAATAAAAACCTCTTTCTTTTTTACCTGATAAGCAGCTTTTCAGATGTGGTTTCTCGCCTTTCGATGTCTCTTTTTTTCATATGGTACCCATTTTCCTCCCTTATATATCTTTCCCATAGCTTTTAAACGCATGGAAATGGCTGCTTGAGTAACATTCAATGTTTCTGCAAGTTGATTTTGTGTTTGACATGGATCTTCATCTACCAATGCTTGCAGTTCTGTATCTTCGAATTTTTTTTGCTGGCCTGGACGTTCTTTATCATTCGTGTTAAAATCATGAAGTTTAAATCGTCGAAACCATTCCTTACAAGTCGTTTCCGATAGAGCAAGTTCCCCGTAAGCTTCAACAAGCATTCGATGAGATTCAGCAGCAGTTTTCTTCAAATTAAAACAGAAAAGCAAAGCTTCGCGCATATGATGCTTATTTGGTTGAAATTCAGACATTTTCTTCGCAGACATTTTCTTCAAACAACTCGAGATATTAGTTGTGGAATAAATTGTTAGGAAGACTTTGAGTGGCACACACAAAGAGATGTCCTCTTTTTTTATTCGGACTGGATTACAACGTAGTCCTTCCAGGAGGACGATTCACAGTTCACACAAGACTTCAAGCGTCCAAACTCCAAAGACAGAGTTGCTCTCTGTCAGTTTGTTACTTTTCTATCTCCAAAATAGGGTGCGTTCCGAGTTACGCATGAAGCGCGTAGACTGCATAGAAAGTCGTTCCGAATTAACTATTGCGCGCTTCGAAAGCGCTTCGAGAGTACTTGAATTCCCCAGATTATACTAACCGTACTGAATTCTTAGCACTCCATTCAGCGCATTGACTGCTTCTCTTTCGACCTGAGGCAGTTGATGCGTCTGATGCGTTCATGCGGTCTATGCGCATGATTTGTAATTCGGAACGAGCAACGAGTACCGGACAATACAACAATGAACGGACGAATATTTGCGATTTGCGATGGAACAGCGATTACAGCAATTGCATGATTTCCCGGTCTTATTAGAGGATAAAAATAAAGTATTAATTTTATTTTTAAATGAAGAGGATATGGCGAAAGTAAGCCAAGATAAAATTAATGGCATTATTCAACAAAAATTAAAAGGGCGAAGTAAGAGTCAGAAGTAAATTACATTTAAAATAATATTAAAATGTTAACATATTTACAATAGAAATATTACAAAAATTGCTTAACAATTGTTACGCGCAGCATGTTTTTAATTTTAAGTAACGGGCATAATGTTTTTAATTTTAAGCAATTTTTTGTAATATTTCTATTGTAAATATGTTAACATTTTAATATTATTTTAAATGTAATTTACTTCTGACTTTTACTTCGCCCTTTTAATTTATGTTGAATATTGTTAAATTAAGAGTCCTTGAATATTTTCATCAAAATTAATGGCATACTATTTTACCTTGATTTATTTAATGTATAGATTAGACGTTATATTAATTAGGAATTACGCGATCGACGTAATCTATAACTTTTTCAACTCCAGTTTCTTTTCCACGTGATTTATCTACTATTAATAGAAAATATTTTCTGTATATCACTTAGAGATATGCCTTCGACTTCATTTTCACTATCGCTCGAGTCGGAACTGTCATCGGAACTTTCATCATTTTTCTTTAAAAGTATTAAAGAAGAAATTACAATTATTAGAAATTGTTTATTGACGTCTTGTATAGCGTCCATCTTGAACTCGCATAGAATGCATAGGAAATCGTTCCGAATAACTAAAGCACTTCATGCGCTTTGACTAAACGGAACGATTTCAAAGCGTTACGCACCAGTAATGCAGTATACACGCTTCATGCGTAACTCGGAACGCACCCTAGTTGTGTAAATTTTTTAATTTTGCATTTTTTACGCAATAAAATATAATATGAAATCATAGGTCTGTTTTTTATTGCTACACTTTCTAAACTGTTGCACGTGATGTAACATTTGAAGTGAAACGAACGTATATTTATTTCACTTCAATTTGAAAGAAAATAGAAAAGGCAATATTTTCCCATGATCAAAAACCAGTCTTAAAAATTTATTAAAGTTTTCTATCAAATTTATTAAAGTTTTTATGACAATTTTTTGAAAAAATTAAATGTATCATACTTTAAGAAATTGATGATTTGTTACTTCAAGCTAAACAAAAAAATTAAAAAAACTTTTTAAAACGTTTTTTGATATTTTTTTTTAAGTAAAGAAAAAAACAAACAATTAAAAAAAAAACGTTTCATTTGGATTATTTTTCACAAAGTTTTATAGGCATTTGAAAATTGAAATTTAAAAAAAAATTCATATGATGACTATATATGTTGATAACAAAATTTGAAAGTCATGGTAGCTTCTTTCGATGGATACTATAATATATTAAATATATATATTTATACATAAAAGAGAAATACATATAATTTGATTATTCCTCCTCCAAAATATATAAAAGATAGTTATATCGTTTATGGAAAGTAAACAAAGTCTTAATAACAATGCATTTGAATACTCCTGCGCATTAACTAAACATATACTTCCCGGTATCTCTCTAATGACGATTGTGTCTGATCCTTTACTTGAGGGTCCCTATTATAGACCTAATAGTTTTTGTAAAGCATCTAATTTGCAGTTCTAATTCTAATTTCCATTTAATGGCGCGTGTTTGTGCACAGCTGACACGCAAGCGCATGGTTACTTCCGGTATCCCTCCCCCTCCATCTTAGCCTCAGCGGCCTTTTCCGCTCTTCCGAAGTTCCGAGCAGTTGCGCGCTGTTGCGCGCTCTCGGCCACTCGGCGTTGTGATTTGTGATTGTAGATCACCGACTTGAGCATTCGGAGGCGTTACATCTGTCTTTTTTTCGCACGCGCCGACAGCTTGTCCTGTTCATTCATTTTATCCATTTTGCCTACCACTTACACACAACACACATGTGCATTTTGTTACTGATCGTATTAAACTCCGTATAAAGAGGAGATAAGAGCCATAACTACAGAAGAAGAAGAAGAAAGACTGGCTGTAGTGAACTCTGTATAAAGGAGGAGGTAAGAGCTAAAGAAGAAGAAAGAAGGTATGATGCTATGAGAAATGTAGTCATCGAAATTCTAATTAAGACCGACGTTCGATGGAGCAATCTACAGCGGAATGGACTTGCGGAATCAATACGACGAATTGCAGCTATTCCGTTTTCCTTCCTATACGCATTATCCTTAAATCCTTATGTCCCATGGAGCGGAATAAGCGGAAGCGGAACACGTGTAATATAAAATCAGACTTTATACTATTTACGATACTTATAATAATAAAAATAGTATTTTACTACATTTAGTAAATTTAATAATGATTACATTTTAGTAAATGTAATAATATATATAACAAACTGATGAACAACAGAACTTCTTTAGCAATAAAATATTTTTATTATTGTAAAACTGTTTCGTGATTGGTTGGAAACTTGATTCAGTTGTTACGTTTACGGTTTACCGGTTTACCGCTCAATATAGGACATAGGAGAAAGAAAATAAACGGAATCATAGGCTACTTTCTTTTTAGAGGATATATACATGAAATATAGCCGTATATAGCGATAAATGGCACATTAGTAAAAAAATATATCTTATATTTGCGATAGAAAAGTATAAATACAATTATGAAAGTAGAAGATATAGACGACAGCTGTGTAATACATCAATATATAATATTGTGGTTATCTGGGACTTTTATTTATTCCGTAAATTATAATAGTGAAATTATAGCGAAAATAGCGGAACAGCTGTGATTCGTCATGTGATTCCTTTCTGTCAATTTCTGCTCTACCGGCCTAACAACGCATTGTTTTAATGAATAATGTTACGTGTTTCTTTTAAATTAACACATTTAAATTGTAAACGTGTGTTTGCATATATCGATAAATGAGTAATATAAAAGATTTTCTATGAAATGATGAAAATCTGACGTTATAGGTTATCTTATTTTGCAGTATGCACATATATCTTCTTTTATCTACAAATTACTTATAACTGAAGGCATGTACGTTTGCAGGTTTTATCTTATCATACAATACTGAAAATCATGGACGATTTTGCCGAGATAATTGTAACACAGGCTACAGATCCAAAAGTGGCATTTGTGGCCGCTGCTGTCTTCGGTTATTGTTTATACAAACTTATAACAATGACAAATAGAAAAAGTTCTCAGAAGAATTCGTTTGCGGAAGATTCTGACGAGACGGATGATGACGTAAAGAAAACGATATCACTTGTCCTTGAATTTCTCTCTGAATTATAATTTCTCTATAATTCTCTAACAATCTGTTAAACAATCAGTTGCGCAATTATTTTCTTTTTTTACACAGGTATACACAGATAAATACGATGATTACAAGTTGACCCTGGTAATTAGAACAGACTTGAAAATGGGAAAAGGAAAAGTAGCAGCTCAGTGCTCACATGCCACTGTCGCAGCATACAAAGATGCTATGAAGCATCCAAACATTCTAAAAGCATGGGAAGAATCTGGTCAAGCTAAAATCACCCTTAAGGTATTTTGAATGATATTAAATACTGATAACTTGATAAAGAAAATATATATTTTTAATGAATAAAATGTGTAATGAATTAATTATATTCATATTGATCTAATATATTAAATATTCTTTATGACACATGAACCAGATTATAAGGTTTCAATCGAAAGAAACTGTGACTTGTTTAATAAATATATTTAACTATACATAGTTAAAATAAATATCTTATTAATACACCCATACACTCACACACATACACACACACACATACACACACACACACATATACACACGCGCATGTATAAAGGAAAAAATAATATATCAATTTCCAGGTGAACAGTGAGGCTGCTCTTACAAAGATAGCAAAGCAAGCTACAGCTGCAGGTCTCTTTTCGAACGTTGTACAGGATGCGGGACATACACAAATACCAGCGGGGAGTAAAACGGTATGTGCGGTCGGGCCAGGTCCAGCAAACTTGGTAGATCAAGTAACCGGTCATTTAAAGTTATTTTAATTGCTTATCAAATAAAGACCGAATTTTTTGATACGTCCTTGATTTTATAATTTTTATTTTTAATGACCCAAAATATCTCGTGTCTGCTATTTAAATTATCAGTCTGTTGGTAAATTTTTTTTTTAGATATGCAAAGAAATCTTAAGACAGTTTTACCTTAAATTTTTTGAGAATATTCACATATGCATATTAAGAAGGCTAATACATGATTTTTATTATCTCTTTATATCTTTCGGTAAAAGAATTTTGAGATTAACATTTAACTCGTAAAATATATAAGCAAATTATCTTCATGACAAGCTTTTTAAAAGACATTTATCTAATAGTTTTCTGTTAAAATTAATATACATCTTTTAGAATTAACATAACACTATATTTGTGTGGGTGTGTGTTGTGTGTGTGTTTTGCGAAGTATAAACGTAGCATAGAATGTCTAAATTGACTTCTATCTAGAACGCATCAGAAATATGATAGTTGAAGTTAGAGCGCGGATGTTGGTGTAGTTAAAATTATTTATTGTGGATATATCAATGGTAAATGAGAGGAAATGTACAGAAAAATTAATTCTTTTAGCTTATTAAACATCCGAACTCCACAGTCATTTTTTGCTTTTATTAATTAAGAACGTTAATAATTAAACGTTTGGACGGATTACAATTAAAATACTTGAGCATATTAGCGCTTATTAGCGAGATTATTTCCTTGTACGTATATAGAACTCGTTACATTCACAAGCTCCAATATATGAAAAAGGGACATACATGCAAATATGTGCATTTAGTGAATATTAAGGCATTTATGATTCCTAGTGTATTCTTTCAGGGTTTCATCTTGAATACCAAAAGATATTGGCAAGTGATTAAGCGCTCGCACTACGTTCTTCGCCAATCGTTTTCTGACAGCCTTGCTGTGATTGCGACCACCTGTTCCTCAATGCATCTCCCACATTCTTTGGTACCCAGTACTATACTTTGCGAAATTACGCTTTAACTTATAAATATAAATAATCTATACCGGTGGCGCGGGTGCTTTCCGAGGTATTTTATTCGAACTGGCGGCGCTGCACTGCGATTCCGCGATAGATCTACCGTCGGCCTCGTCCCTTCGGCAAAGCTCAGACTCATTCTGTATCCAATTCTGTGTCTGACTATGACCCACCGTTTTCGACTGCGACTCCTCGTTCTCAGACACAGCGCTCACTTCTTCCAGCAATTTCGATAATGACGGCGCTAGACCCAATCCCAAATTGCGCTCGTGATACACCTCTGATATCGTGGGCGTAAGCTCTCGCGTTAGACTCGTCAGGGAAGTGGCCAGATTCCTCAAATTCTGCGGATGTGTTTCCGTGGATTGCGTCGCGTCAGTCTGTGCGTTGCAGATGTCCTCGTTCGTTGCCGCGACATGCCGCGATTTCCTTGACGAATTCGTGTCGATCTCCGTTCTCACGCTCAACCTTTCCAATACATTAGCCGGCAAAGGCGGTAAGGGTTGTCGCCTTAATACAGTGGCATGACCATTGTCCCAATCTGTCACCGAACTGCTCGAACTCGAACCAGGCCTTACCGAATTTTGTTCGGGATAAAGATTTCGAATACGAGTTTGATGGTTCAAGTTCAGCGCCACAGGAGGACTAGGTGTAAATGCCACGTCTGATTCACCTGAAGCGTTCGAACATAATATTAAATTTCCGTGTAAGATCTTACAAAATTTTTATAAGATTCATTTGATTTCTGTAAAATTTTCGTGGAATGTACGAATCGTTTTTTGATTATTTGAAATAGATAAAAAGTTGACTTGGACGTTTTGTTTCATAATTTTAAAATATTTGTACATACCTCCACCATTTTGACATGGCTGTCGTGATGCTGGTATCAAAACGTTCGGTGGTTCCATAGTTTTCCCATCTGGTTCACCACGATGTCGCACGTAACTTGCAAACGCTCCTCCCAATCGCGGCCGTTCTACAAGATTTTTCTCAGTATGAGCCACAGAAGCTAAACTCTCCATAGAACTGCCTGAATCTAAGCTAAGACTTTTTGGTGCTTCTTGTGTATCTGTAATTGATAATACACACATACAAATGAATACAATTAATTTATATTTATTGCTATCATCATGTATCAATATGAATTTTAATTTAATTTACCAAATAATGCGAGAAGAGCTTGAAGAGCAAACTGAACAGCTCTACGTGAGGCTTGTTTGCCTGTTCTCAATATCACTTCTGATTGTCCGACTTCCATCAAGTCGAAGCCTAAGCTAGCGAACAATTCGTGTGATCCTGATGCTCTCCAAACGTGTACAGGCAGTATAACTTCTTGTCCTTCTGTGGCACAACTGGCTCTTCTCATGGCAGCGATAACGTCCTCTGCGGCTTCTGGCACCTGAAATATTTTTTACATAATTGATTAAAATCAAAACCTTATACAAATTTGGTCAAACATTAATTAAAGTAAGTCGTACTTGTAAGAGTCTAGCCAAAGCATGCAATGACGATTGACCTAATCCTAATAGAGCTTGCAAACTGGCGCTACATCTTGTCAACCTTTCCTCGGGATCGCTTTGTGGGAAGAATACGGAAGATGGTATACCGTTGCCGGCCGGCTCGAATCTGAATCCTACGGACATTAGGAGCTCTCGCCAACCGGTGGCCGCGCCCACCTTGTTCTCGATACTGCGTTGAGTAGTATACATGGCGTTCTTCTGACCGCGATGAATTCTCTGTAATGATTTCTCTACTAGATGAAGCGTTACTCGCAGCGCGTCCCTGCTTTGTTCGGGACCACCACGCAATAATTCCGCCAGCGCTTGACCCATTAGCGCGACCTGTTGAAACAAGAGAAGAGAATAATGAAATACTACAATATCAAAGCTGCAAAATCTAAAATAAGATTACATTTATTTAAGATAAATCAAAGCTTTAATTAATTGATTCGTTTTGTATTTTGTAGTTGCTAAACTGGCACATATAGTTCCTATCGTACCTTGTTGGATAATCTTGTGTCTCCGCCGATAAGCAGCCAACCGGCCCAGTTAGCGGGATGAGCAAAGTGTCTAGTATGTTGAACGGTTTGCATCGCTTCGGCTAATGCACGCGACGCTCTTGCTCCTTGCAACATTGCGCTGTAGAATGCTCGTAATAAAATGCTACCAGCGGTTGGTGGTACTGCCCACATCCCTATTAGCACACATTGCGCGCCCGCGCTTAACAAAGTCTTGGCGATATTCTGTATACCATCCGATGTGGCGTTTGTGCAATCTACGTTACTCCAACTCTGACCGCTGGACACGACCACCAAACGGGCGGACATCTTTAGTCTGAATAAATCTGTTTGGTTTATCAGATACTCCGGTCTTTCGGATGGTTCCTCGCACTGATCAGGAGAAAACGCTAGACTGCCGGTATTCCAAAAGACCGGCACTGTCAGATGAACACACTCCGCATCCGGTAGAGACCGCAGAACTGCTGATCTAGTAGCTTCCAATCCTGTTGTAAACAACAGAGAAAATTTTAAGTGACTTTCGCAAACAATTTTCGTAGTTGCGATACAATTAGGAAAATTTTTTAGAACTGTAGCTGATACTAACCGATCATTGCGCGAGCTTCCAATAATTCGGCGACTATTTCAGACTCGGTCTCGGTGGAAGCAACGCTTTCAGCCCATCCATACTCCTCTCGAACATCCTCCGGTAGAACAGGATTTCCGGCAACCAATGCAGCCACGGTAGCACCGCCTTCTAGCACAGGCGTTTTCGCTCTTTTTCTGAGCGCCGCAAGAGATGGTACCACCAATAATGAGAATCTTTCACATAGATAATCCTCGCCTGGATTGGATTGCAAAGCTGGGAACGGTGCCAAGTAAAGAGACTTTTCTACCACCATAATCAGTTCTTTTCGTGGTGGTGGTAGTAGATCTTCGAACGGAGCAAGAAGAAGATCGTAGAGCATCTGTATCGGCAATGGTGCCTGCCATGTAGGTCCTTTTGCACCTCGTCCCCAACGAGCACTTCCAGCGCGAGAGCTCACAGAGCCGACACTAAAGAGACTACTCAAACTGTAGGAACTAGCATTCAAGTGATGACCCCTTGACGGGATTTTAGTTGATTCCTCGATAAGCTCGTTACTTTCGTCCAGGAGCGCTTCACGCGCTTGAAGAACTCGCTTTTCTAAACCTACTCCATCGTCTAGTGTTGCGGAATGGAACCGTAATAGTCCACGTCCTGGTGCTAAGCACCACGCATGCAATTCACATCCTACCTCGCTGAAATTTTGTTCAATTATTTTACTTTTTTAAGAGAGAACATATAAATTACTATAATATAATATTAAATAAATTATATCTCGCTTCGAATTATAATACTATAGTTTGTGAACTCTATAATAAATAGTTTAGGAAAGAATCATACCTATAGTACAGGATTACTCCACGTTGTCGATCAATGATCTCGGAGTAATGAGCTGCATCGTCCAAAGAATTACTCTTAGATCGTCTGGATCTTTCCGCCCAATTCAGAGCCTCCTCTGCTCGGTTAAGATTGATTAGTACCTTTTGCAACATTCTGTATGTTTCTGATAGTAACTCAGCTCGATTAGGTTGACCACATGAAAGAGACACAGAAGTTCCGTCTAACGATTCTAAGAGATTTGCGGCCTTCTCCAAGTGTTCCACAGAGATGATTGCTTCTCCAGTCTCCCAGTGCACAAGACCAAGTCTGTGTCTCAGTCTGGCAGCTTCTTCTCTCCTGCCTAAACCTTCGGACAGGGACAGACCAGACTGCAGATAACTTAGAGCACGTGGCAGATCTCCACACAAATGATGGAGTCGACCCAGACTCGCGAAAGCTGCTGCTCTGGCAGGTTGATCGCCTGCTGCAGCCGCAAGACTCAGTGATTGTTCTTGCAACCTTATAGCTTCCTCATATTGTCCTAATGTCTCCTGAGTCACTCCTAAATTGGCACAGGCGCGAGCTTGTAAGCCAGCCGCATCTAGACCTTCGGCGATCGATAGCTCCAACTGATGATGGCGTAACGCGGAATTCGGATCATCCATTAAAAGATGAACTGCTCCCAAACCGCTGGCAGCTTCGGCCTCGGCTGCTTTGTCGCCGAGTCCACGAGCGAGAGCCAATTGGTG